AACAAACGCAGTTTACCCTAATTAGGGAAATGAGCTGCCAATTCTTCCATATAACCTCACTGCTGAATTTTGATTCCGTGCTTATTCCACGATCATGGTGAAAATTTTTTATTCAGTTCAGTAACGTTGGCGTAACATATTGCTCAAACGGATCCAGCGGTCTTTTCTGATTATCTATCTCAAACTGTCCACATTTGCGGTTATTCCTAATAGCCACAGAAAATTTTTTAATAGTTTAAAAAAAATATGTATGAAAAATTTGTTGCATAAATATTTATAGGTAATTCCTTACTGCATCTTAGACAACTTGTCCGCCATGCTAGGGGCTTGGTGGTTCATAATATGTGAAAGTCTCAGCATGACGGCCAATATACTAGGCGAACGCTTTCAAAGGGTAAGTTAGGAAAAAAGTTTTCTCAGAAAAATGCATTTTACAAAATAATTTCTAAACATATACATTCAAATTTGTCTCTCTTATATGCTATAGGCACTCCGACACATCGGTCCCGCCGCAATGGTCGCCGATTATCGCGCCTTGTGGTTACGTTTGAGTAAATTGACACGCGATACAGGCAATGCGACCTGCTATACTTTCACTTTTATCAACTTGTATCTCTTTTTCATCATCACACTCTCCGTTTACGGACTCATGTCACAGCTCTCCGAAGGTTTTGGCATCAAAGATATCGGTTTGGCTATAACTGCTATTTGGAATGTATTTTTGCTTTTCTACATTTGCGATAAAGCTCATTACGCCTCCTTCAATGTGCGCACGAATTTTCAGAAAAAGCTGCTAATGGTAGAACTGAATTGGATGAACTCGGACGCGCAAACGGAGATAAATATGTTTATACGCGCAACGGAAATGAATCCGTCAAATATCAATTGCGGTGGATTCTTCGATGTGAACAGAAATCTTTTCAAAGGGGTGAGGGGATATTGTTACTTTCTTTTTGCAGCTATTATATCAATTAATGTAATATTATTGTCCAGCTGCTCACGACAATGGTCACTTACCTCGTCGTCTTGCTGCAGTTCCAAATCAGCATACCCTCCGATACTGGGCGACAAATGAATGTTTCGGTGGCCGAGTTAGCCACCGATATGATGCTGGAAAGTGCTGAGGTCGAATTAACTAGCCCAAGTACAACATCGACTACAACAACCACAACGACTAAGATGCCACCGCCGGCACGTGGTCGCAAGGGATAAATGCATTTGAAACGTTTCTTTTTGATATTCTAACAATATTATTGGAGATTTTGATATAATGAATACATTTTTTGAGAAATATGGAAGAAAGCAGAATTTAGAAATTAAAGCGAATAGTGCTTAACGAGTAATTTATTATTTAATATTTAACAATAATTTAAAAAGGAAGAAAAATTAAAAATAACCTTAGGTTCCACCGAGATTTGAACTCGGATCGCTGGATTCAGAGTCCAGAGTGCTAACCATTACACCATGGAACCGCTTACCACATTGTGTACAGTGTACGTATATGAGCTCGATAGTTAAGCTCTGCGCATGCTAGAGAGCACACAAAGCGAGTGTGAGTATTTTACAGTTGCAGCAAAAACTCTCTCCTAAAAGTAGGCTACATCTTGTGGCATTACACTGCACGTCGAAGTGCTTGCACTAAAACGGGTGGTTCCAATACAATTTTTATTTGTTGTTTCATTGTGAAGTATATACTTAATATAACAGTTTATTGATGGACTGAATAATTTAAACGTTATCAAGCTAGACTCAAGTTTCACCATATGTCGCTCTGACGCGCTACGAAGGTAAACTTCATTATTTGGACCTTTGAGAGAGAATATAAGAATATGGGTTTAATCCTATTAACTTGGAATTGAATTTATGAAATAACTTGTTAGTAAGTCAGTGAAGGAACATAATTCTTTGTAATCAAGCAATTTTTTGTAATATGCAAAATACTGCTAAGAGTATAAGGCGTAATGTAGGGGAAAAGTTAGCCGGTTTACTCGTTTTTATGTTGTTCTAGATTGTTTGTTGTCCCCAAATATTATTGCAAAATGTTGGCGAGTAGATAAATTTTGTAAAAAAAATCTATTTAGTGCTGCTTTGAAAATCAATACTAGATATATTTTATTTTCTGCTCTTTACACCTTTTTGGAAAAGAAGTCTATTTTGAAGAAAAGTTGAATACAAAATATTTCTAATTCTCCGCTCTGCTCCCTCTCCAATATGTATGCAGCATAACAGTTTTTAATCAGATGCTCTTCGTGATTTAATTCAGAATGACATTTCAAGTCGGTGAACGCCATAGCATTGTGGCTCAGGAGTGTAATATGTTTCTTTTGATTTCCATTTCTCGCCAGGCTATTTGCTGTATTACCCATATGGCGGTTATCATAACAAAAAATTATACTAGTAACCGAAAAGTTAGTAGGGATGCTGTTGCAGGAGACACTATTTTATTGATTTCAAGTCATTTTGATATTTTCTTGGTATAGCTTAATTTGTAGTTTAAAAAAACTCAAATTTTCATATTTTGATAGGTTATACCTTTAAAACTCACCTAGTAAAATTTTAAATCGATAACTCAAATAGTTTTTAGTCACAGCTCAATCCAATCAGCTCTATTAGTTTATCTTTAAACACATTTACATATCTGAAAACTACATTTTTCATATTTGCTTGAGTGATTACTCGTAGAGAAAGAATTCGATCACTATCAAATTTTTTTCTGCATATCCTGTAAACATATAGTTTTAACAATCGAATTTTTTAAACGCCGCCATTTAGGAAATTTTTAATGTTTTGTTCGACTATAGGTCATTATACGGACACTAGAATTTTTATACCCTGAACAGGGTATAATAATTTTGCCACGAAGTTTGTAACACTTAGAAGGAAACGTCGGAGATCATATAAAGTATATATATAAATTATCACCGTGACGAGCAGAGTTGATTTAGCCATGTCCGTCTGTCTGTCCGTCCGTCTGTATGTCTGTCCGTCTGTCCGTTTGTATATACGCGAACTAGTCTCTCAGTTTTTGAGATATCGCTCTGAAATTTTGCACCTGCCCTTTTCTAACAAAGAAGCTGCACATTTGTCGGAACGGCCGATATCGGACTACTATAGCATATAGCTGCCATACAAACTGAAAAATCGGAATCAAGTCTTTGTATGGAAAACTCTTTCATTTGACGAGGTATCTTCATGAAATTTGGCGTGTATTATTATT